GAGAAACATAGTCCCTCCAGCGTGTCCTGCGTCTTCCTCTGGGTCTCCTCCCAGTGAGACGTGTCCAGAACACCTCACCAAGGAGACGTCCAGGAGGCATCCTAACCAGATGAATCACCTCAACTGGCTCGTCTCGACGTAGATGAGCATTGACTCTACTCTGAGTCCCTCCCAGAAGACTGAGCTTCTCACCCTACTGTATCTCTAAGGGAGTGCCCAGACACCCTGTGAAGGAAACTCATTTTGGCCGCTTGTATCCGCAATCTTGTTCTTTCGGTCACTGCTCAAAGTTCGTGACCATAGATGAGGGTAGGAACGTGGACCAACTGGTAAACCGAAAGCTTTGCCTTCTGGCTCAGCTCCCGCTTCACCATGACAGACCGGTACAGTGCCCGCATCACTGCAGATGCAGCACCAATCCGCCTGTTGATCTCCCGCTCCATTCTTCCCTCATTCGTGGACAAGACCCCAAGATACTTTAACTGCTCCACTTGGGGCAGGATCTCCTCCCTGACCCGGAGACGGCATGCTACCAGTTCTGGCTCAAGACCATGGTTTCGGATTTGGAGGCACTGATCCTCATCCCGTCCGCTTCACACTCGGCTGCGAACTGCTCCAGCGAGAGCTGGAGATCACGATCTGATGAAGCCAATAGGACCACATCATCCGCATAAAGCAGAGATGTGATCCTAAGGTCTCCAAAAAGGATCTCTTCAACACCTTGGCTGCGCCTAGAAATTCTATCCATAAAAGTTATGAACAGAGTTGGTCCAAATTCTTTAGTAAGAGCATAAAATCAGCAATGAGAATATCAAGCGTAAAAAAACAGTAAGACATTGAATAGAAGCATGATAAAATGACAAACAGTGTTGATAAAATGATAAGATAATATTTACATATTCACAAGAGAAGCACAAGATGTCAGCAGCAGGGATTTAGTGTTGACAAGTCTGGGTACTAATCAAATATTGTTTAAGATGGGCACAGAATATTTTAAATACGTTACTCCCTCTGATTGTTGTTGGAATGGTATTTCATTCATGAGAAGCTTTAACAGAGWAAGCAGACTGACTAAAAGCACTTTTTTCTTAGTGGGCTAATGCAATCACCCCTGGATATTCCTCGAGTGATTCTGCGGGTGGAGGTTCTGAGACTGACAAAATCACTAAGAGGTGGGGCCATCCTGTGTATGATTTTGTATGTCTGACAGGCATTTATGTACCTAATGAGATTGTCCCAACTTCGAAGACTGTATTTTC